TACTTAAGGCATGATTCTAAGATTTTAGAGATCACACAGTGAATTTGGATGGTTTCTTCCTTCAGTTGTGCACATAATATATTTTGAGAAACATCCATTAAGGGACTAAGAATAAACGTAGGGTTTGTTCATAAAGAACCTAAGTTAGGGAATTTAAATGCATGTGATCATAGAAGATATTACTCACTTGATTAGTAGAGGACGTATTACTATGGTTCATGTGTTTTGTTCTTTAATGAAGGTTGTGTCAGTACTTGCACCAAGTGGGAGAATGTAAGTATTTTCCCTAAATACAATATATTATAATATATTGTATTAATTAAGTGGTTGTGGTGCAAGTGGAAGATTAAGTCAGTTAGTGACTTAATCTGTTAGGCAACTCAGGATATTCAGTTAAGCTTTAACTGAATATCTGCCTACGTTGATGGCATGTAGGCTTCTAAGCAAAACAGTCCTCCCACAGCTCCCGTATTCAGAATACACGCACCATCAGGTATTCGGGAGAGAAGTGGTAGACAAAACTATTCTGCAGGTTTACCGTCCCATGGCAATAACAACAACTATGGCAAGGGATATTCGGATGATCCTGAAGCATCCGCTACTACGAGACATGTTACTCGTTACTACAGTTTATGTTAGTCAATTTATTATCTAACACATTTGACTCTGGATTTTGGTGTTTTCTTGATTGTCTCAACAGTTTTTCCCTCTCCGTGTTCTTCCCCACCGCTGTAACCACCATCAAACCCTCACCTTCCTCCGCCTCTTCCGCCGGATTTTCGCCTGTAAACACGGCGGTATTAACACCGCCGCCTCTTCTGATGAAAATCCCATTGGCGGGGACTTCGTCCCCAGGCTCCAAGCAAACAACCTCGTTGGCCATTACCTCGGACGCCGAGATTTGAAGCTTTTAGCCATGTCGAATCACCTTAACCAGTCCCACGTTTCTCCGCTTCAAACATCTCTTCTTATTCATGCACTTAGCCTTTACAACCTTAAAAACTGCTCCGAAATGGAGGGAGAGAAATATGGCCAGGAAAAAGATAACTCCGTCTAGAAATCCTTGTCGAGCCCCATTTCTCCGAACCCCAATGGCAATAGAAAGCGCGACGCAACAAAGAAGGAGAGAAAACGTCGAGTTTCTCATTGATTCCCAGAAAATTTCATGGAAGGTGAAGGCACTAGGCGGTTGATGTTCGAAGACGACAACGTTGGTTCCAAACGCTGTTCGTCGGCAGTGGATATCCGCCTCGTCTCCGGCTATGCCGGATGCAATACTGGTTTGTAAGCCATCAAGTAACTGCCGGAGGCTGAGGAGTCCATTGTTTCGCTCTTCCAAGATCTGTTCTAGCAGTTTCGATGTAAGTGCGAAGGTGGAAAGAGGAAGCTGGTCATTATCTAAATTGTTCATCTTTGAAGAAGACCGGAATTGAAGTGTACTTGAAGCATATATACTCCAAATTGAACAAACAAGAAATTCAAATTGAATCTTCCCTGGGATTTCTGTAAATCAGTTCAATAAGGATGCATGCATGCACATGATAATTTATACTGAAAGATGATCGAGGAGTTTGATATCGCAATTACAATAAATAATAATAAAGAAAAAAACAAAAACTATATATATATATATATATATATATATATATATATATATATATATATATATATATGTTTTAAGTGGAGATTATGGCGATTCAGGAGAAAGAAAACAAAAAAGTTTAATTGGAGAAATAGTATTTATGATTTGGTGGTTCATTCTTTGACTGCTGAAGGGGCATGCAGGTGCCAGGTGGAGGGTGGAAGAAAAGCGTGCGGAAGGACGGAGAAATTTATAGGAAAATACATAGACATTTACTCATTTAGTAACTTTTGCTTGGAAGCTTATGAAATTACATCTTTGTCCTTAATTTTAACCATCAACAAACAGAAAAGTTAACAGAGGACTAAATTGGACAAAGATTACATAATTGAGGACTTAATTGCATAAGAATGATAGTCGAGGACTAAATTGGTAATTACGGCATAGTCGAGGGATCATTTTGGTTATTAACTCCTAAAAGCTCATTAATACCAAATAATGAACATTTAGTACTCAAATAATGTACTTTTAAATAATGAACATTCAGTACACAAATAATGTATCTTCGATGTATTAAAAATGTACCTTATTTGAGTAGTCCATCTTACAAGGTGGACCATGGTCTATGGTATAGCGTACATTTGCCATCACGATTCACGTACAACACCTTACTTGCGGTATCACATGCATGAAGCCAAGTCTAAATAGACTTCTCCTTTCTAAACCTTAGAAAGAGATACACAGCAACATCACCCGCCACGCCAATGAGGAAACCTTCTACTACGCGTCTAGTTGGCCAACTCCAACTTCAAAACCAAACACTCTCATCCTCAGGCTCTACATTGCGAGAAATCCATCCACCAAGACATCTTAGCTTGAGCATAAAAGATTCTTTTCATTTTCCTCTCTTTGTAAGAAATGGCATCTCCATCCGCAAAAATTCAACTGGCGCAAACACCAACCCCCGCTGCGCTGCCGCTCTATCTGCAGTAGTGATACCAGCTGGTACATAGGTTTGTTGTAGAATCTGCATTGAAAATGACAACAAAGAAGTGATTCATAAATTGATTAAATATCATATTACATTTACTATAAATACTCGAGTACTTGTCTTACACTTCGTTTTCATTTAACCTAACTCTTTTCTAACTTGCAGGCGATGAACTCATAGCCACATACCTTTGCAAAGAGACACAAGAGTTCATCTACATGGACTGCTTAGACCATTGGAGATCTGTAAAAGTGAGCAATTTCTATTCATGTGTATGGGACCCGCTGTAGAGCGGCGGTAGGGTGTGTGCAATAGCCCGCATATTAGCAAACACGGTTGCACACTTCGATGGGTCAAGCAACGTAATGTGCAATTCGTGTGCACATCATGTGCAATTCGTGTGCACGTCATGTGCAATTTGCTTTAATTTTCAATATATCTAACTGTTTAGTCTGATGATGATGTAAATGAAACAGGAGCACTGATCTTCCTTCTTGTCTTGGGATGTTATTGTTTCTTAAAAAGTTGCATCTCCCTTGCTAATTTGGACCAACGTATAGCCGGCTGCCAAAACTGTTGCTTGGCCATGTTGTTGTGGAATTGCCTTCCATTCCTGCTACAATTGTCATCATTGTTACTATATATGTCTTTGTTTTCTGTGGTATTGCATATGGTTTGTTTCTAGCTACCACAGTTGTACATAAGAGTTGGCATAGGCACTACCAAATCCTCACGAAGCGGAATCTTACCCAAGTTTAATACTTCAACTTTAATATGAGTATAAATTTTTTTGTGAGACGTATCATAATCCATTTAAATAATATGTTATTTTTATTTCAATTCTCTCTTAAATGTTACAGGTGTACGTAATGGTGGATCAACGTGGCCATTATACCCCACCGACACTAGATTCGAGGCATGAACAACACCTTCGATCTCTTAATCTATTGTAGGGGGTGATTTTTTTTTTTTTTTTTTTTTTTACAAAATCAGGTTTTATTGGCAACGAATATCCCGACGCGTGGCAAAACCCCTTACATCAAACAATAAGGCCAGTTTAGCCATAGTAGGCAGCGAATGTAAAGTATGAAATTTTTTTGAAGTGCTATAGCCGAGGCCAGCTGTTGCAAGAACGTCTGCAACCTGATTGGCTTCCCTGTAAATATGCCGAATACTGGAACCCTATAAGCTAAGAGTGGACCGAATGTAAGAAACTGCTGGCTAAATTCTCCAAGGAATCCTTGTATCCTGCGAAGAGATCAAGTTGGCGAGGGAGAGAGAGTCGACTTCCACAGCAAAAGGAGTCATGGCGAAGGCAGCACACCATTGGACAGCCAGCTGAAGAGATAGTTTAAACATAAATTTGGATAGTTTAAACATAAATTTCCATAGTTATTTCTTTGTTTTCTTGAGTAATATTGACTCTATTACAATATAGTATTTGTCGAATCTGTGACCTCCTATTTGAGAGAGCCATAGAGGTGCCATTTTGAAAACCAAACAACCAATATGCATTAATTAATAAATAAGTGTGAAATACAACTGGGTGGTGAAGAGTTCCAAGACCCAAGGACAAACCGATGAACTAGTTGCCCGTGCCAGCTACTTGATTCGCTAACCTTTTGACATGGTGAACAAACATGTTCCCAATGTCCCTAGCAATCAAACAACATTGCTTAATAATTAAATCTACATACGGAAGATCCAACAACAGCGAATTAAAATTGACACAAAAACTTAATCAATCAGACTACTCGACTATGAAATTGTTGTTCTCACGCCCTTTTAACCAAGTTAGTGCTTCCTTAACAGCTATTGCCTCAACGAGATAAGGATCTTGGAGACATCAACCTTCCGCTCCGGGCTGGGACGAACCTGCCACCATGATCACGAATTACCACCCCATATCCTGCGCCATCAACAAAAACCGCAGCATCCATATTAAATAAGATACAAATTAAATGAAAAACAAAACTCTTTTGGAAAAATGATTGAATTTTTAATTAGAAATTAAAATTATTGTTAAATTATACCATATTTATACAAACTACATGTATATATATATATTTTAAATACCATATCTATACAAACTACATGTATACACATATATGCATATATGTCTTTGTATTTTACGTAGTGATTGTAAAATTGACAACAGAAAAAAATATTAAGGATATACTTGGTAAGAAATTATTAGCATCTAACCTGGGCACATCATTATTTCTAATACAATATAATGACACTGGGCAGTAACGTATGCTGTGATTCATCATATGAGGGAATTCGCCCCATCACTGAAAAAAAACAATGCAAAATGGGGAACATATATGAAACCACATGAGAATTGAAGAACATATTTATTTTAAACAGATTGGCAAATAAAACAAACAATATAATAGAAGAGAAAAGAAACACATACCTAGCTAGCTAGCGAACATCATGAATCACGTCGTCGACAACAACAGTAAGTGGCGTATAGAAAGCATCAACTCGATTTAGGCGCGCTTTCCTGATATTGTACGCCTCCCAAGGGTCGTTTGACTTTTTCCGAAGCCACTTTCGCTCCTCCAGAATCTTCATGGCTACATCGACAACATAAGGGGAACACTGCTCCACCTTAATTGTCTTTAGAGTGTCAATATATCTAACTTCAAATAACATCTCTTCCAAACGATAACAACGTCTTAGGATTAGACAACTTAATTTTGGGAAATTGGTGCTCTTGACCACCCATTTCTGGAGATTTGTAGCCTCAATGAGCAACACTTCTAAGTTATAAAATTCTTCAAATGATCCCCACACTAGGTCAGAGAAGGCGTTTTCTAGTTTGAGCACCTTTAAAGCACTCAATACCCTTGGAAACTTCATTATCGGGAGATTAGTCCCGCTCAACCTCAACTTCTTCAGCCTTGTAGAAAACACTAGCTGCTCTAGATGGGTCATACTGTTTTCTGGGATTATAACGGTAAGTGTCTCGAGTTTCGACAAATACCTAATATAATCCAAATTGATGGTGGGGTTTCTGCAAGGTCCAGGGCTGCTACATGGCTCATCAAAGGCACCTTTATAGTAAACCTTGAGATATTCTAAGTTTGGGAACTTCTTATACACCTCTTCTGTGAAATGAGTTGGACTAACCCACGATAATGTTTGTAATTGCTCAATATTCCTGTTTGGAGGATCCACCTCATAGTAATTGCCAAGTTCAAGATGCCTTAAATGTGGTAACTCCCAAATTCTGAATGACAAATGGCCAGTTTTAAGTAGTTGTGGTTCACCACCACAAACAATAATTGTCTGCAAATTCTGATTGTTTGACACTACATCGTCTAAACCCTCAAACCACGGTGGTACAGATAGGTATCTCAGAAAAACTAAATCTCTTAAATGCAATGGCACTATTTCGAAGATTTGAAGTGCACTCAAATCTACAATTCTTAATAGCTTGAAAGATACCGACTTTACAAAATCTCCTTGAAAGAAGAAAAGAGAGCGAGGGTTATTTGTAGTAAAGAGCGCATAATAATCCAACCTATGTGAGTATAAACTTAACCAACGACATGAATTCACAAACATGTCTAATGGCAATCCTAAATCTTTTCGAGTATACGCCGCACATAGGAGACCCTCTTTTTTTGTTTCTCTCGTACAGAAGTCCCATAAGGAGCTATGTATCCAGCAAACATTAGTCATCTTATGTTCCCATTTGCTGATTGAGACCAGACCACTATGAACAAGACCATCTAAATAGCAGTAACCTTCCTCTTCTAAATCCTTGACCAATTGCCTCCCAAATCCCTTACACTCCATTTGCCTCACAAATCCCTCAGCAATCCATATCCTAATAAGCCTTTTCACATTGATTTTAAAGCCTTTTGGATAGACTGCAAAATTTAAAAAACAAACTTTCAAATGTTGGGGCAATTGATTGTAGGATAGAGTAAGCTTACTTAAGTGCTCGGCATCATTGTATAGAGGTCCCAATGTCTCGACTTCCTTTTCAATCTTCATCCATTCCTTTAAAATGTAATCACATTTAGAAAAACGCTCTGCAACCGCAACAATTGACCGTGGCAACCCTTCGCATTCCTTCACAACATGTTTGGCGATTTCTACAAATTTTGGTGCTCTTAGCTCTTTGGGAGAGAGTTTGTTGCAAAATAGATCCCAACTTCTGTTTGGATCCAATATGCACATTTTATGCACATTGCCAAATGTGGCAGCATCGCAACCAACAGCATTGAACTGAGTTGTCAGCAATATACGTATTTGGTATGAAGCATTAGGAAGACATGTTAGGATATCACCCAAAACTCGGGTGTTTGGTATATTATCCAAAACAAGAAAATACATATGCCTACCTCCCAAGTGCTTGTGTAATTTCTCTTTGATTAGTTGAGAAAGAGTGTTTCCCTTGTACTCTTGAGGCACAGTAACCCAAGCTCGAATGTAACCTTCTGCCATATCTGAGCCATAGACTCTTTTAGCCAAAGTAGTCTTGCCAATGCCTGGCAATCCTACAATTGAAACTATGTTTTTTGGCTCAAAGGTATAGAATAACATCTTTTTACCGCATTGAAGGCATCTTCATTAAATTGATCCTCAAGATTTGGAGAGCATGGCAAGGATGGTCCATCCAACACAACATTCTCAGGTTTCAACCAATGAATGGATGGATGAGTTTCACTGGTCATGGCTGCTTCGGGTTCACTGCTTCTGCTGTTGTTAATAATCTTGGACAGCTCTTCTGCATCTTCTGCAGCTTTTCGCAAGCTTTGATGGAGTTCCCCACGAGCTTTGGCTTGACACTTTCCGTCTTGGGCTAGAAGAAAGCTTCTTAGTTGTATCTCAATGTCATCTTCAGCTTTGAGCGCAAAGTCTCTGATTTTGATTGCCAGATGACGGGCTGGAGCACCACCGTTGTTGTATTCCTTCTCCAGAAAGGCTTGCAAAGAAGAAAGCTTCTCAAACAGAGAATTCAATGGCTTTTCAGCATGAAGAGACACTCTGTGGTTTGGTTTTCGGAACTCAAGGTCGATTGTTGCCATTAGAGAAGCCAATGCAACACAAGCCATCTCTCTTTCTATGTTTTTCTCTCACACGTACTCTCTCTGACTGATATGTTTCTGAGTAATTGATGAGAATGTATATATGTTTGAAGGGCCATTAATATGGAGCTAGCTGGATTCTCATCGTGCATGTACATGCTTGAATTTTTACAATTTTTTTAATGCAATCATACAACTCAGCAAAACTGTTAAGCACATGAAAGTCCATACTGAATTAAAAGTCAACTTACTGCCCAAATTATTGAGTGAACAGGATTAGGAATGATATCTTTTTGCAAACACAATTTCATGTATGACCGTTTATAATATTAATGTAGACCTGTCAAAATAGGCTTAGCCCGCTACGCTAGCCCGTCCTGCCAAAAAGACGGGATGGCCATTGAATTTTATTGCCCCTTTTTTGGTGGGCTTTTTAGCCCGGCCGTCACTCGAAATGGCGGGCTTTGGAGGGCTGACGAGGCCCGAGAAATCCGCCTACTATGTATACATTATAAATATATAGGGAAAGATTCAGGTGCAAGTTAGACTTCCTGTGCGGTTGTGCGAAGGACGCACCTTAAACATTAAAATGGCGCACCATAAGTATACAAACCACGCACTTAAGCACACAAACAAAACATGTTAAGAACACAAATCATGCACTTCAAACACACAACAAAGAACCTTAAGGTTTTAAAATGGTTCACCAAGTTTCACACAACTTACGCACCTTAAGCATACAAATTACGCACCTTAAGGAAAACAACACACCTTAAGAAGAAAACTTACGCACCTTAAGTTTCAACAACTACCCACATTAAGCACAAAACTCGCGCACCTTAAGCACAAAACCCACGCACCTTAAGCACAAAACCCACGCACCTTAAGCACAAAACTCACGCACCTTAAGTTTCAACAACTACTCACATTAAGTACACAACCACGCACCTTAAGCACAAAACTCACGCACATAAAGCACAAAATCCACGCACCTTAAGCACAAAAACCACGCACCTTAAATTTGACATAGATGCAAAAATTACCAAATTGTCACCTCATTTTTTAAAAATTTTTTTGGTAATCTTGAACGTTGATTTAAGCAAAATCAATGGCTCTCCTCTCATCGCACGACTGCGCCTGGGCGCGACAACCGCACCTGAACCTATATATACATACATACATACATACATATATATATATATATATACACACACACACACACACACACACACATATATATATATATATATATTTATTTATTTAATTATTTATTTATTTATTTATATTGAAAAATGTATTAGTAAGTAGTACATGTTTTCTCCACGTCTGAAGAAGTTGAGGTTGAGCTTGGTATGTGTATCATATCATCTTGTTTCTATTCTCTTCTATTATATTTGATGTGAGCCAAATTGTACATGTTTTTAGTGATAGTTTGATTATATTTGTTGGGTTTAAGTTCAAGAAAATGTCACAATAATTGCATATTTCCTTGTTTTCTAATTTTGATATTGTTTACACTGGTTTTGAATGTTTTATGGTGTTTATTAGTGTTTTTGGAACCATTGTAGGTCAAGTGCAAAAGCAAGGGAAATTTCAGACGAGTTTGGAGCCGAAATGGACCAGATGGTGCTGAAACGCAAGATTCGACGCGTCGAGCCAATGGCTCGACATGTCCAAATATTCCAGAAGCCAATCCGATCGGAGCTCAGCAAACTCGACGCATCGAGAAGTTCCAGTAGCGATTCGGGAGTCCAGCCAAATGCTCGATGCGTCGAGAAGTTGCAGTACCGAGCTGTGAAATACGATGCCACAGACTCGACACGTCGAGCTACCAATCGACGCATCGAGTCTGATATTTGGCAGCTTCTAAATTTGGGCGGAAAGCTTCCTATTTTGCCCCGGTTTGGTTTTCGCTATAAAACCCCGCCTCGGTTCACCCCTAGAGAGAATTATTCAGACTTTTGGAGACAAGAAAGAGGAGAATTGAGATCTACAAGTTGTCTTTGGAAGCAAGAAGAAAGCTAGGGAGATTTGGGAAAATCACTTCGTTTATTCTGGTACTCTTTTAGATTATTTGTAAACTCTTTATTATAATTGCTATGTATAATTTAGCCATGCTTGGCTAAATTCCATTAGAGATTTTTGGGTAAAAAGTGTTTATGAACCTATGTGCATGTTTATCATATTCTTCAATATATTATTATTTGGGTTATAAGTTATGTTGCAATTGTGATTATATTGTTGTTGCTAGTAGCTCAAGGCCCGAATTACTTGTTTCATAGCTTTATTTATGTCATAACGGGAGTTAGGCATAATTGAGAGTACACACAATTACACTTAACTGTTGCACCTTTGGAGAGGGCATATATGTAGGGAGTTTGATTCATGATTATTGTACATCGGGAGATGGTAGTAGTTAGGAGTTTATTATGAATGCTTGTTCTTATATTGTTGGGTGTTTATATAACATGAGTGAATATTCACTAGGGTTAGAGATTACGGGAGTAACTCTATATCATCTTTGCATTCTCACACTTGTTTAAACCCCAGTTTTAATATTGTTCATAAGGTTGTCACTAGCTAGGTGATTAAATACTTGAATTCCAGGAATCTCATTCTCTCTCTATTGTTTTCACAAACCTGGTACTTTTTTTAATTATTTTAATCAACCATCCATGATAATCATTAGGATTAGCTTCACAAGAATAGATTAGTAGCTAGTGCTTGATACGCCCCACTTCCCTGTGGATCGATAACTCGTTACTCCGAGTAATTATTTGTTTGAGCATTATACTGCAATCAATATTATTTTTGTTTTATTTGCCAAATCTATTTAAAATATCTTCTTCTCATATGGTTTCATGATAACTGCAGACACATGAGACCATGATAACTGCAAACACATGAGATGTTGGTTAATATGTTATGTGTCTGCCGTTGACATATTTTATACATGCAGTTAATATTTCACTACACCAAATAAGGCATTTAGCGACTGTTTTTTTTTTTTTTTAACGTTTAGCGGCGGTTACAAACCGCCACTATTGTGTTTAGCGGCAGTTATTCAACCGTGTCTAAATAGTGTGTTGTGAAGTATTTAGCGATGGTTTTCTACAATCGCGGGAATTAATGAAAAACTTATTTCGCGGTGGTTTTGAATGCATTTAGCCGCGGTTACATAACCAGTGTTACAATGAGGTACTTTTCTTTTGCTTTTAGCGGCGATTTTGAAACCACCGCTAAAATGAGGTAATTTTCTTTTTCTTTTAGCGGCGGTTACAAAACTGCCACTAAAATGAGGTACTTTTCTTTTGCTTTTAGAGGCGGTTTTGTAACCGCCGCTAAATAAATCTATTTATTTTTTCTTTAAATTTTAGTGGCAGCCATTAAGTGTCGCTAAATGTTTTTCTTTATTTATTTTTAAAAATTTTAGTGGCGGTTATTAAGTGGTGCTAAATAATGTTTTGTTTTCATAATTAAGTGTCGCTAAATGTTTTATAATTGCATTATTATATTTTTATAATTATTATTTAAATCTTTATATTGCAATCATAAATAAACTCTATGTACACATTAATTGGAACAAAATTCAATTGTAACTTATATTTGTCAAATAATTGTAACAAAAAACAAAGAATCTTTATATACTAGAAGCTAATAGTTCTGAGAAAAAAGAGCAACAACATTAAATTGTTTCAGGATCCATTGATTCATCTGCAACAATGAGAGAGAGGTTTCTAAGAAGATAGTACAAGAATACTTATTAATCCATTGACATTCAAAAGGAAACCAAAAGGCCAAATTTCATAAGAAGATGATCAACATTGTCTAAATCCACATCAAGTTAAAGTGGCCTTCGGAAAGTCCCAGTCTCCCTTTGTTCATTCCATCTTTCAACCTGAAAGGAACCCAATTGGACGTAAGATTAAAATATAGTGTATGCACTGTTAGGCATAATATGTGGCTCAAATTAAACATAGACCATGTCTCTAATGTTGGCGTCGTTTGCGTGCTAACATTCCTACATGATTTCCTACTTTGGCTCTCATTCTTGTAATTGCCGTACATTTCTCTTCTTTGTAATTATAAATAGGTTTAGGTTCATTGTTTTCAATGCATCAATTCATTAATTGTAATTCATTCCTAAGCAATTCATCTTGCAAGGTTAGTGGAATTGGAAGTGTTCAGATTAAAACTCATGATAACGTTGTCAGGACTCTTACCAATGTTTGGTATATTCCTGATTTGAAACGCAATCTGATATCATTGGGCACCTTGGAATCTCTGGGGTGCAAGTACACAGCTGAAGGTGGAGTTTTGAAGGTCATAAAAGGCTCTCTTATTCTCATGAAAGCTTCTCGTTCTGGAAGCTTGTATGTCTTGCATGGCAGTACTGTGACAAGTTCAGTAGCGGTA